TTTTTCCCCCCACACCTTGCCCGAAATGCTATGAGTATTAGTGGCTTTAGGTATTGTATGTACTAGCTCTGCCTATAAATCCAACATTATGTTTGTAAATCAACTGTATGTACTTTTCCTGAATAAAATGTATTTATTATTTATTTTTTAATCAGTAAGTATTAAAAGAAGGCACCAAGCTGGGAAGGCTATGTAGCACCATTGTGTGTAACAATAAACCAAATTTTTTTAACAAATAATGCACCTGTATGGGAAAACAAATCCTGTCAGCTGTAAAAATATTGATGCAGTTATTTAAATGAAAAATATAATGAAAGAAATATTACGGGTTTATTTTTATCCTATCTTTTTGTACTGTACAGTATATCCAAGGAAGTGAAAAATTAAGACATAATGCACAATTTAATGAATGATTAGCATGGATTAGCAGTTCAAAAGAAATATGACTTGTATTACATATCAACATGAGATCTTAATGATCCATGGTCAACATGATTTAATAAGGATAATACAGTACTGTATTTGTAATAATACAAACTATAATTTAAAATCTTTATTACTGATTTTTTTTATTAAGAAGATTAGGTATACACAGCAATGTGCTGCTACCCTATTCTATATGGAATATTACACAGTGTAGATAAAAAACTAGCTATAAGTTTATCTAATACTCCCATCTCACAGGATGGTTAGACATACTGTACATGGAATCAATTTAGAAAATACCAGCCTCAATACAAAAAACAAATCAACTCTGACTAAACAACTCTAAGCAATTTTCACAAGAGGTAAGCACTGAATCATGGAAACATTATATTATAATTACTCTTACCAGTTTCTACAAAACTCCTCTCAAACAATGTATTTTTAAACATGTTTAGGTATACACAGCAATGTGCTGCTTCCCTATTCTGTATAAAGGACCACACAGTGTAGATCAAAAACCAGCTACAAGCTCACCCAACATCCTCACCTCACAGGATGGCCAGTCATACATGGAATTAGGAGAGAACAAAATACTTAATGCTGATCTATTAGCCTCCACTGGCAAAATCTGGGTGCAGCACAAGAATATCTTCCAATATTCCTGAGTGTATGAAGTAATTACAGAGCTCAAAGTATCTCATACCATTTGGTATGAAGTCACTGATAACAGGACAATCACAGATATAGTGTTGGAGAGTATGTTCTCTCAAGTAGGACTGAAAACAGATGTTTTTTTTTCCACCAAGAGGGCTATAAACCCATGGAACCGCCTACCCGCTGAAGCCGTAAATGCCAAATTCCAGCTAAAAAATAACATTAATTCAATTGGCGGGCCCTTTAACAAGCCGCCGGCTTTCTGTCCTCTTCGAGGTCACTAGATAGTTAGTGGCCATTGGGTAAATTCAGTAAATATATACAATAATTGTCAGCGCATCTTCCGAGCAACAAGGACAGCTACACAGTATCTCTTAGAATTACATAGGTAAACAACAAATGTAACATATTTGTTTACTACAATGTCGGTGCTGGCTGTAGAAGTTGAAAAAACATTGTTTTACTTCGAAATATACTAATTTTATAAGAAAATTCGACGTAAATAGGAGGCAGTAGAGCTCCTATAAGCCAGCGCTAAATCTTCAATATGAAGAATGTTGCTGCTCTCTGATTGGCCAAACGAAACACAGTAGTGACCTCTATCGGCACGCAGGTGAACCAACAATTTTCTTCCTAAGTATACCTTATTGAATCGCACCTAAGCATCTTCTTAGGGCGCACTTAGGAACCTTCGTAGCAAACCCACTTACGAAGAAATACACAGAGCTTCCTGAATCTAGGTCCTGAACCCTGGCACGACCCCTCCGAAACTGCCGAGAACGACCGCTTCGGAGAATCAACAAGTCCGTCATAGGACGACAACTGGATGAAGCCGCGTGCAGAAATTGAGAGACCGCAGTCTCTGCAAACAGCAACGGACAAAACAGAGACGAAAACCTAAGAGTCAGGGCCCAAGCGGATTCCAAAGAGAGCGCGAGCACAGCCTGACGGTATGCGAGGCGAGAAGCAAAAAACAGATACACCGCTTCCTTCAGGATGGGCGCAAAGAGCTTAAACAGTACAGCCGACGCCCTAGCTGCCGAAGACAGCGCCCCGGACGAAGGCCCTTCACTCAACGCTCCCACATCCTCCTCAAGCCAAGCAGAAGACAACTTGAGAAGGGAAAAGAAACGCAAGACCGAAGCCAAATGCCCACGGGAGCGCAACTCCTCCGCAACCAACAAAGCCAAAAGCTGAGGAACCTGCACGTGAAGCTGGAAAAGGCCAACATCCCGAGAAAGCACGGGAGCGAATAAGCACCCATTAAGGTGCTCAAACTCGCCCCCCAGGTAAACCTGCATATAAGTAGCAGTTTCCCGCCAATCAAGTGTGGGGGTCCAACAGAACCCATGCCACGCCCCCAACGAAAAGAAAGGGCAGTCTGCCAGCCAGGAAGACTCCGGAACCTCCAAATGCACCCAAAGACGGGAAGAAGAAACGAACTCAAACGAGGATGGATCCATTGGGGAGGCATAACCCGTGTTTCACAAGAGGTATGCAGCAAGAGCTTCCCGAGCCACCTTCGCGGAGGTACGGGAAGTAGCAAATCCCTGGAAAGACGGATCCGAGGTACCCAAAGGCACCCGGAACCGAACCCGGAGAGGAGCCGAACCCAAATCATACTCATACAGGGAAGGGGGGTAAGAAAACCCCTCCCCCTGCAACAATAAGCCCCGAGAGGAAGGCAAAAGCACCCAAGCGGGGTCACAGGGGGCCCAAGGCCCCCAGGTCGACTCCTCTCCAGCCCCAGGATTCCCCACGTCGGGACCCGGGGCAGAGCCGTCCTCCAAACCCTCTACCTCTGAAGAAAAGGCAGAGTCCAAGGGAAAGGCAGACAAGAAGGGGGTCTGCTGGTGGGACCCAGAAGCCTCGGCAGGAGGAACCGGCTCAAATGCCTCCGTCCCCAACCCGGATGGGGCAGCCCCCAAAGCAGCCCAAGTCTCATTACCAACTAAACCCTGTGCCGAGGCCGAAACCCTCAGACGTTTTGGAGCCGGACACAGTGGAGGAGGTGCAGGAAGAACCACAGGGGAAGGACCAGGGGGCGTGGCTGGAGCCAAAGCCATAGCGACCAACGCCCCCAGGTCAGGGTCCCTAAAGCCAAAACGGGGCAGCCTCGGGGCATCCGGGTGGGAAACCAACCTAGCGCGTTGCAATAATCTAAACCTAACATGCAACGCTGATGCTGCCTGTACCCTAATAGGAACATCCTCAGAGTAAAACTGGAGCACAAGCAGAAAACATGACTCGCAAGACTCCGGGTCAAAAGTGTCATATACCCAACAGGCAGCATGACAAGAGGCAAAACAGGTGACTGTCACCCTGAGACAAGGGCACACTGCAACCTTCAAACCTGCACAAGGCAGGCTGGAACTCGGGAGACGCATCCATGGGTCCCCGAGCCCCGACAGGGGTTTCCAGGGCCCGTAGGTTAGCAACTACGAGAAGCCCGGGCAAGGTGTTGCTTACCGGTTGAGAAACCCAACAACAAGAGTAGATGATAACACTGAAAATCCCCTGGGACATGTACAAGCACGGGGGCCTAGCAGAGGGCCACCAAAACAATATCAGGGGGACTATAGACCCACGAGGCAGAACCTCCACCAGGCAAACAAAAACAAAACAAAACAAAAACCCCGCAAAAATACACCGTCTCCAGTGGCAACAGGAACCGGTCACTGCATAGGTGGCAGGCCGCGCAACACCTTGACGCCCTAACCAGCACAACAACCACTCCCTACCCATGGCCAAACAAGGGCCCCAAGCCCCAGCTGGCCCCAAGGGCGAGGCAAATGCCGAGCAGCAAGAACCCCTACGGGAGCGGTTCCCAAACGCCCCAGAGAAGATAACCCTGACACGCAAGGGCAGTACTCACAGGGCGCCTAGGAAAGGAAACCCCTAGGTGCATGCAGCCCCGGCACTGATGAGGTACTCCTGGCCACCACACAATACACAAAGACAGCAGAGAACGCCACACGAGGCAAATACCGCCCAGGAATTTGAGGCCAGAGAAGCGTCTATCCTGGTTGACACTAGCTTGCGAACTGAAGGCAGCCGGCGCGGTGAGGTCTGGGGCCCCCCCTCCCCCTCCCAGAGGGTGGGGGGGGGGGAGAGCTGCGAGGACAACCGGCGTGGCAGAAAATTGATTGTTTGATTGTTCCTTGGGATTGTAGGGAGTTTTCTACCTCTCTGTTCGGTTTTTGTTGTAGTTTTAACCATGTGGGGTTTGTTTTGTTATGCTTACCTTTCTGGGTGTCTGACCCCGGTCAATGGCAGATAAGGAAAACCCCCAACCATATGGGGTTTTCCAGGGCCATTGTTCCCTGAAACCTCTCTGAAGGGGCCAGGTTCTGGCACTGGTCCCTGGTAGGTCTGAACTCCATAGCTAATGTCCCGGTCTAACATAACATACATTAGCCAGATAAGCTCCAGGGAGCCGTAGGGGCTCCCCACAGAAAGCACCAACTGCATATTCACTTTGTGGACACTTCTTACTACTATTCTTCTTCTTTGAGCATAGGACAGGTGCTTGCATTTCTTTATTACTGCATAATCCTTCAGTTACATTTATTAGCTGTTTTTCTTTTCAATAAAATGTTCTTATTTTTCAAAAATTCGTCTAAAATCAATTTTTTAAAATATTTTTATGAGAGTTTCACGACACTGAAACCAATAAGTTGGAGATCTGTTTAACATTTTTAAGTTATTTTTACATAATTTGAATATTATTCGATGTTATGCCCCCTAAATTCACGGTAATATGCACGGTCTCAGGGTTAAATGAGAAGACATACTGAATATGTGGCATTAGAAGCAAAGAAGCTTAAAATTGAGAATATAATAAATGTCTTGAAGAATCAGTATTTTTTTGTCATGCACAACATAGATACTGTGTAAATTCTGATTTTAAAGTTACTTACCATGTGAGTTTGATGACTCAGCAATAGTGATTAGTTCTGTCTCTTCATTGTCAGTAGTGTGCATAACAAATATATGATGCTTTATTTCCTCTTCTTCCTCCACCTCCTCAATTCCTTCACTTTCTTCTCTAACCTCTTCCTCTCCACTATTATCTCTGTCCTCCATTGTCCCATTCCCTGCTCCATTTCCAACATTCAGTTGAGTGATAAGGATGCTCTGCTTTCCTATTTCTTCTTCTAAAAAATAAAAAATAAAATCAACACAGAATGTAATGAGCACCCTTTCTGTACTAAGTGCTGTTAAATCACACCTTTGCCTACCAGAAGCCAAAACCAGAATCTGGTTTGCTCTAAGAGGGAGGAAAAAAAAATACTGTTGATTGTAATGAAACGCCATTTTCTGGATGAGTCCCGGAGGTTCCCAGAGGTATCCAGACTGATATGTAATAATTAGCTTTCTGGCATCAGTTAACCTCTAACCTGCTCTGGGCTATTTGGCCTTTGTCATCCACAGGTGCATAAAAATAAAAATAAAAAAAAATTCTTATAATCCTGTTAATTTGTGTTCCCTGATCACGGGGAAAAATAATAAAAAAATCGTAAGTGGCATATTTTGACCGCAATAGAGTGGGAAAGTTTGGCAAAAAACCAGCGTTGAATGTAACGAAATGCCATTTTCTGGGCGAGACCTGGAGACTCCTCGAAGCTATCCAGGCTGATATGCTAATGTCAGACTTTGGCATCAGTCATTTGTATGGAATTCTGTGGGCCTACTGGGGACCACGAGCCAGAACCTGGCCCCTTCAGAAGAGGCATGAGTGGCAATAGCTATAGAAATCCTTGTGTGGTTGGAAGCATTCTATGTCTGCCATCGACCGGGTCAGGCACCCAGAAAGGGAAGCATCCCAAAACACATTCCTATTCTGGTGAAAATTGCGAAGAAAAGCCGAACAAATGGATAGAATTCCCCAAACAAACGGGCAAACGAGTATGACATCTCACGTCGCCGCGCCACTGTCTGCGCAGCTCCCCCCTCCCCAGTTGGGGGAAGGGGGAGCTCCAGACCCCCATGCCGGCAATCCACCTTTCAATTCTGAGACGAGAAATCAAAACACGTGAAAAACCGCCGCCAGGGGAGGGAGGGTTGCTGGGGAGGCTCCGGGTCTCACCCAGAAAATGGAGTTTCATTACATTCAATGCTGGTTTTCTGGGGGGAGCCCCGTCGGCTCCCCGGAACTACCTACCCAAAGACGAAACAAGAGGGACCTAACCCGGGAGGCGGAAAATGCACACACCCCAACGCAAAACGGAGACAAAAACTGCAACTGCCAATCAAAGGCCACACAGGCCCGACAAGGCCCAGGAACATCAATGAAGGAATGCAGAGCCAACCAATGAACGACTTGGGCACGGGGATAGACAGCAAGCTGGCAGGACTGAACCACCCCGCAGACGACCCAAGAGAACCACACCGTGGAACAGGAAAGAAGGGAACCCAGAACAACCCAAAGCGTGACTCCGGTCACCGCAGTCATGGCACGCCAAGCACGGCGAAGTGCCGCAACCGAACACAATACACGATGCACCCCCGGCCAGACCAACCAATCATCAAACAACCCAAGGACACCTCCGGAAAGCAGCCGAGCCAGTCTTCGCCAGAAAAGAAGGAGACGGCTGCAAGCGAACAAAACTTATCAGAACCAAAAGAGCCGAAACCCAGGCGCTGGAGGAGGGCATGAAGCACCCCAACCCGACTCCCAGAGGCCCACGCCAACAAGAAAAGAGCCTCAGAAAACAACTCGGAACCGAAGGGGCCTCAACAAACCGAGGAAAAGAGAAAAGAGCATGCACTCTAAGAACCAGGATGGCTCAAGCGGCGCAAGAGCAAGCCAGAGGTGAACCATGCCACAGACTGTTCGTGAAGAGGTGCAGAGGCAACTCTAAAACTGAAGTAACCTGGTCCACCAGCGCCGCACGAGACAAGGCGACAGTATGTGGCAAGATAACGGCCCTAAACCTCCACAAGAGAAGGACCAGGCCACGCCAAGAAAACATAACAAACCAACAATTGGACAGAAAGAAAAAGGAAGGACCGCCAAAGAAAACCCCACACCGCCACCAAGACGAAGCACGCTGGTGGGACATCATCAACGAAGCCACCTGACCACCATCAGATGGTGAAATACTCGAGGCAGAACCAAACCAGCCACACCATGGACCGATCGTGCATGGACGAGGCAGGGCTGTGGGATAACCTCGGGTGCAAACACCGAGCAAGCAGAGCCGAAAACCAAGCCAGCAAGGAATGAGAAGGAATGTCTGCCATACAGAAAACTTCCCGATGCTAGCGAGCTCGCCAGGAGATCGGAGAACCTGTGGTTCCGATGCAAGACTCGTGAGACGTGACACCACGAGATCCGGAAAATGCCAACTGGCAGGGTAAGCCAGGAAACCAGGAACCCAAATCCGGCAAGCCAGGAAAGAACCAAACATAGGGGCAGTGCAAAAGCAGGGAACTGAACATGGACAAAGTCCAACCTAACAGTAGAAGAGCCAAGAAGCAAATACAAAACCATACAACAATGTGTAATGAGAGGGTCAAGGTAACATTAGAACTATAACATCTTGTGAAACTTAGCTATCACAAGACAAACAAGTGTAAATGAACTTGTACAGGGCTCCTCGCAGACGTCAAGCCCTGATGAGTAACCTACACACAAAACAAGCCAACTACCCCTCACATAGTACCCTGCAGGACAAATGACCAGAATTGGACAGTGTATAATAAGCCATACGGACTAGAAAAACAGCCCCAGCACCAGCAGCTAGGGACAAGAGCGAAGAAGGAAGATGAGGAACGAGGAAGACAGGCAGCAACGGGAACGAAAGGAACAGGACCAACAACACACAGAGGCCATGTCGATGTCAAGCGATTGACAGTCGAGAGGCGGGACTAAAGAGCCAAAACTCAACCCCCCACAAGCACAACTAGGTTAGGACAAAGAGTACAGAAAATCAAATGGATATGGAAGGGCTAAGCCAGGCACTGCAAGACAGTCAAGGAATAAGTGACCAAAATAAGACCACGAAGACGTGGCCGTACCCCACTGCTTAACAAGTAACACAGTGTTAGTCGAGTTCATGTACCATGCACCCCACACCCATCCAGTGGGCGACAGTGGAAAGGGCCACAGAGGCACACAATGGGCTCAGGGACTGAACCCCACAATTCACTGAGGCAAGCAAGTTACAATCTTAAGGAGCTAGTTACAAAAATCAGTACAAGTCACCACAGACAAACAAAGGAAGGTCACAGGAAGAAGCACGCAAGGGGCCGAATAAAACGCCACAACCAACCCCAACACGCACACAAAAACCATGAACCAGCGCCTGGCCAAAAGAGACGCCTGACTGCATAAACTCACCTGCAGAGCATAGCCACGAACGTGTCACGACACAACGTAGCCGAGAATATTCTGAGAGCACCGCCAGTGGAATGGGGTCAGAGCCACACATGCAGGAGAAAAGTAGAGCATAGGCAAATGCGGCGCCCTACACCCGTATGCAGAGAAAACGAGGCGTCCTCCCCATAGTGGTAATCCAGAACACCCCCAGTATCTACAAGGCACGGACTGGAGAGATGAGAGGAGTGAGAGAGGCAAAGCACCCCAAGAGAAAAAGGATGCGAACACCAGCACTTGTGTACATTGTCCATAACAAAATAAACTCCCACGGCGCGTGCGCAGGACGCATGAGGTCCAAACCGCACAACCCCGCCCGGCGGGGAAGGCACTAACTAGGAGTATTGAAGGAACATTAGCAGTGCCCAGACAGAACACGGAGAGAAGATATAATGACAAAAGAATGAGACAGTATCGAAAACAAAAAAGAAACACGTAAGAGGGCCAATGAGTCTAAAAAAGGACTGGGGGTAAGCCTCACCCTAAGACGACAGAGGTTCCAATAATGCGGGAAGAAGCGAATCCTTCCCGAACCCTCGAGATCTTACAGAAGCAAACACAAAATCACGAAGGCTCATAAAGGTACAGTCGCACTCGAGATCAAAATTCATGCAGAACCCCGATAAGAGGGGAACATGACCCCAACATGACAAGAGAAATCCTGTCCCAGATAAAAGGGGGATAGAAACGGAGAAGAGTTCCCACAGATAGGACGGAACCGAACAGACCCGAAGGGACAAGGATCCGAACCCGGGGAGGGGCCGACGCCCAACAACTCGTACGCAGTGGGAGGAAAAGGAAAAACCCCACTTCCCATAACCGCAAGCCCCGCTCAGAGGGTAGAAAACCCTGGCGGAGTCCAACGGGGCCCGACGCCCCCCAAGTCAGCCCCTCCCCAGCCCCAAGAACCTCCCTGGTAGGCCCTGGGGCCGAGCCATCCCCCCAAAGCCCCAGCCTCACAAGAAAAAGCCGGGGCAGCCGGAAAATTACTAAGGAAGGGAGCCCACTGGCAGACTCATACAACACAGCTGGAGGAACAGGCTTCAATGCCTCCATCACTACTCCAGAAGGGAAAATCCCCGAGACCGCCCGACCCCAATCCCACAGACAATAAGGATCCAGATGCAAGGAGGAAGGGCGGGGGTGGGGGTGAGGGCGACAAAACACAACAGGGAAACACAAGGGCGCGCGGGAAGGGAACAAAACCAAAGTAATCAACACCCCCAAGCCCCATCACAACAACCAAAACGGGGCAGCCTCGGGGCTTCCGAGAAGCAAACAACCTAGCACGTTGCAACTACCTGAACCCATCGTGGAACACCCATGCTGCCTGCACTCGCATAGTCAGCATAAGACTGGGTAACCGAGTCACAAACAAGCAACGAAACTTGCAGGACTCCGGGTCAATGGTGCCACCGACCCCACAGGCAGCAGACGGAGACAAAAACAGGGAGAGTCACCCTGAGACAAGGGGACAGAGCAACCTTCGAACTCGCACAAAGCGAGGGGGGACTCAGGGGTCACATCCATCGGACCCACTCACCCCCATGGTGATTCCCAGGGTCCTGAGACAGAGCTCACGCTCAGGAAAGCCCAGACAGGGTACTGCTAACTGGCGCCAGGCACAATCAGGAGAGCCCTACCAGGTGAATACATAACCAGCACCACAACCCACACACCTCATAACACGAAAAAAGGTGGGTCCCCTGAACGACTCTAGCATGGGTTGGACATGCACATGAGTGGGACTGGAAGGGTTGAAAAAGGGACAGTCACTGGTGTGCGAACGGTCTCAGTCGTACAAAAATAGACCTAAATAAAGACAGGTATATAAACATCTCCGCATCCAGCGCTCGGCCAAAAGACACCAGACCGCAGAAAGTCACCTGTCGAACGGAGGCATGAACGTGACACGACTCAACCGTGCCCAGAGGATCCCGGGAGCACCGCCAGGTGAAGATGCCAGAGCCGGACCCGCAGGAGAGCATGGTAGAGGCGAAGGAGGTGGCCCACACCCATGACACAGGGAAACCTCGGCGTTCTCCCCACAGCTGGAAACTAGGACACCCCCGGAGCAAAGGGGCACATACTGCAGCAAGGGAGAAGAGCGAGAGACGGAGCACTTGAGAAAAAGGGGCGCAAAACACCAGCACTGAAACACACCGCCCAGACCAAAACAAACTCCACGGCGTATGCGCATGACACACTGGCCGAACCGCACAATCCTCTCTGCGGGAAGGCGCCAACCAGGACTACTGCACTAGAAAAGTAGCCAAAAGAGGAAGCAGGAACAACAAAACCGGCCAACAAAGCAAAGACAGAGCCCAAAAAGGTTCCCACAGGCCCACAAGTAGCCCAAACCGGGCCACTGGCCATAAGCAGCCCAACCGAGCTAAAAGTAGCCCAAAACGGCGACATGGACGAGGAGCCGACAGACGTTCCAATAATGCAGGAAGTAGCGAAAACCTTCCCGAACCCTCGAGAACACAGAAGCCAACACTAGTCCCGAAGGCACATAAAGGCGCAGGCACACCCGAGACCAGAAGTCACATAAAACCCCAAGAACGGGGAAGCATGACGAAAACACCGTCCGAAAATGGGGGGGGTAAGCATCCACCCACAGGACGGAACCAACCGACTCAAAGGCCAAGGGACCGAGCCCGAGGAGGGGCCGACACCCAACAGCACGTACGGCGAGTGGGGAGGAAAGACCCCACTCCGAGTAACCACAAGACCTGCCTAAAGGGGGAGAAAAAAAACCACGGGGTCCTACAGGGCCAAGGGCCCCCCAAGTCAGCCCCTCCCCAGCCCCAGGAACCGACACGACAGGCCCCGGGGCCGAGCCGTCCCCCCCAAAGCCCAGGCCGTACCAGAAAAAAGGGGCAGTCGCAAAAACACTAAGGAAGGGAGCCCACTGGCAGACTCTTACAACACGGCTGGAGGAACAGGCTCAAATGCCCCCGTCACTACCCCGGAAGGGGAATTCCCCGAGACTGCCCGAGTCTCAACACCATCAAACCCAGCCGCGATCCTACAGACGGTAAGGAACCGGATGCAGGCAGGAAGGGGGATCCAGGGGAAAGACAAGGGGGCATGGAAGGAACCAAAGCAACCAACACCCCCAAGTCCCAACACGAACCAAAACGGGGCAGCCCCGGGGCTCCCGGGGAGTAAACCACGAGAGCGTTGCCACCACTAAGGCTCAAAGTGCAACGCCCCTGCTGCCCGCACCCGCTTAATCAGCACAACTGGGTAACCTAGCCACAACGAGCAACAAAACTCGCAGGACTCCAGGTCGAAGGTGTCACCGACTCCACAGGCAGCAGACGGAGGCAAAACAGAGAGTCACCCAGAGACAAAGGGTGAGAGCAACCCTCAAACTCGCTGGAAGCGAGGGGGGGCTCTGGAGTCACATCCATTGGACCCACGCGCCCCCAGGTGTTTCCCAGGGGTCCCGAGCGTTTACTATGCTTACCTTCTGGATGCTTGACCCGGTCGATGGCAGACATAGAATGCTTCCAACTACACGGGGGTTTCTATAGGCCATTGCTCCCCTTGCCTCTGAGGGGGCCAGGTTCTGGCCGTGGTCCCCGGTAGGCCCTAGAACTCCATACACATGACTGATGCCAAAGTCTGACATTAGCATATCAGCCTGGTAAAGCTCCGGGAGCCTCCGGGTCTCACCCAGAAAATGGCGTTTCATTACATTCAACGCTGGTTTTTTGCCAGACTTCCCCGCCCTATAGCGGGCAATATATGCCACTTACGATTTTTTTACTATTTTTCCCATGATCAGTGAACACAAATTAACAGGTTAGGAAGAATTTTTTTTTTTTTTTTTTTTGTATGCACCTGTGGGTGTCAAATGGTATATAGCCATGCGCCATTTAAGGGTTAATTGTGACATTTAGAATATTGCACTATTCTTTCTTTGATGGGTAAATACAGTAAATACATTATCAACAGAAATCAGAAAACAATGCCAGCTTGCTCAAAATAAAGCGAACTGTTACTTACCATGTTTTTTGTCTGTGTTAGCAAGGCGAAGTATGTTTGCCGATGCTGGAGTACTTCCCTTCTCTCTTCCATGAAGACCCTTTACATGACGTGAACAAGCAGCAAGTTCATGGAAGCCTGTTTCATACATAATTTAGAGAACTGTATACATACATTAGAGATGGACTTTAAAAGTAAAAATATTTAATTTGAAGAAAATCCTAAATCATTTTAAATTTACTGAAAATCAGTATAATAATTTGAGCCAATATTTTTTATTTAAGCGATTTTTAAAAAATATAAGTTTTGACTGCAATGAAAATGTCCTCCCTGGTAAGCCATACAGTAACTTTCTGATGCTAAAGCACAGCAACTGCCAAGAGTTACGGACTCGTACCAAGCCTCTGAGACCCACTCATTCGGTACCCCACCACAAGCAAAGACCAGAATCTTGAGGGTATCTAAGCCAATACAAACGTCCAGTGACAATGTTGTACATCCACGAAGGAAAAAAACATTGATTCCACTAGGTGAGGCAAAGGAAGTAACAGGAATGATTATTAGACTCAAAAATACTGACTTGCATCCCTGAAAGCTGCAAAAGATAAGTCATGGATGGGTACAGGAGACATCACAAGACAACCAACAAGTGACAAGACAATATAACACAATATAACATATATATTAAGTACACTGTCTCAAAAATTTAGGACCTCCATATAACTTATCACTCTAAATAATGGCTCCAATTCACCCCTCATTGTGAAATTCATTGAATTTCACAAGAAAAAATCCAATCCAACTTCTGAATTTAGCCGAGGGTCACCAGCTGTCTAGAGGCTACAACAGGGGCAGAAAGCCAGCTGCTAGTCAAAGGTCTGTCATTTTTTTTCCTGAGAATTTTTTACAACTCAATTTTTTTCATCTGCAGTAGTGTCTTAGCATTTACAGCTTTGGTAGATAAGCTTTATGGATTATGGTAAACCATAAATTTATAACCCCTATGAATGAAAAAGCATGTTTTCTGTTCTACAGTGTGACTTGTTGAGCTTAAAGTTGTTGCTTATTGTATTTATTACATGTGACCTTTTAAAGAAGTGGTCTGGATTAATATACTCTAAATTATTTAGTATTTGAAGTTTCACTGAGATCTGCTTTTTCATGTCTGGTTTGCAGTGCTGTTAGTCCTGTGGCACTCAACCTTTCTTGGTATGAGAGTCGACTTAATCCTGGGGTGATTTTTGTCACTTTATGTTGTACTTTCTCCACAGCAGATATGCTTGGACAGTCCAGATTGGGGCACACCTTTCAATGACTGATGAATTCTGACTCCCAGGTCCTTATCTTCTTCAATCTACTACATGGTAAAGTTGTTGATTTGATAGTTGTGCCCTATATGCAAAGTCTTCCACTTTTTCAATACTAAAAAAGCATTTCCTGATCTTCTAACCACTGTTGGAGTTCATTTGTAAGACCTCAATAAAATTTTTGCTCCTTACTTTACCACAGATGCACCTTACCTTACTTTACCACAGGTGTCAGCTGCAACTCTGATAATGTGGTTCATAATATTCTCATCTATGTCACTGATGTATATGACAAAAAGGTCTCAAGATGGAACCGTCTCCACTTGCCACATTTCTCCAGACAGATTCGTTTAGACTTAGGATGACTCTTCGTTTTCTTTGTCTTAACCATTGTTTAATCCCTACTAGTATTTTACCATTTATTCGATGTGCTTGTCAGTACACACAGAAATCACATTAACGTGATGCATCAAATGAACAAATCCACAAGGGCCATGACGAGGATTCGAAGGTTCGAATCCTCGTCACGGCCCTTATGGATTTGTGCTTGTCAGTCTTTCTGTGGTACCTTATCAAAAGCTTTAGAGAAGTTAATGTACACTATGTTTACTGCAATTCCTTTGTGTGAATACAGTAGCTGATTATCATCTACAAATTTGAGTAGGTTGGTAAGACAAGATATATTTTCAACAAAATCATGTTGCATTGATTTTACTAGATTGTGCACTGTGAGATAGTGAATGATTCCCTCTCTTTTTGGATTCTTTCCATGAGCTTCCAGATTTGCGAGGTTGTGCTGATAGGTTGGAAGTTTTCTGCCTAGCTTTATCTGCCTTTTTTTGGAGATAAGGGTGACATTTGCATATTTCCAGTCTAGGAGAACTATTCCTTGGTTTAGAGATTATCTGTATAGGAGTTTCAGTGGGGTAGATAGTTTATCTGCCTTTTGTATTTGCTATTTATGATTTTTCACTGAATTCTATCCACACCTGGGGCTTTTGAATCTTTTACCTTATCAATGCTCTTTTTCATTGTTTTGAATCTTATGAGAATATCCCTTAATTCAATCTCTTTCCTTGCTGAAACATTTGTGTGGATATTGGGATATTGTCTAATTTTCCTAGTGGGAACAATGATGTAAAGTATTCACTCAGTGTTGCCTGCCTTTTTATCATTCATCTTAATTTAGTTAATATCATCTTTTAACCCTTTAACTGCGCAACGCGCCTGCAGGCCCAGGCTTCGGGTGTTTTTATTTTTCACGTTCCATTCAAAACTCCCGCGGCTACATGGGGTTCACATCAGCTTCCTCAGGACTCTTGTAAGCAGACGCCATCTTTACAAAAAATCATGGTCCACATTGCCGGGTGTCAGAGCCTCAGTAGTGAGTGAGCAACCAAGGCTGGCACTCGCAGCATGAGCGCACAGCACTGCTGTTTAGCGTGTGACCACAGCATCGCCTAATATTGTCAAAATATATATATATAATGTTTTATTTAACCATGACAGTATTATAGAAGAGCCTGAGTGTGATAATGACTGGGTACAATGTTCAAATATCAGTGACTCAATGCTGTTCACGATGTTCACAGCGCTAGCCACAGCATCACAGCATTATTTCGTCCATCTAGGAATCTTCAAACGACTTTTTAGGTTCCTTATCAAAATAAACTTGTGGTCAATTATTCATTTACAGTATTATAGAAGAGCCTAAGTGTGATAATGACTGGGTACAATGTTCAAATATCAGTGATTCAATGCTGTTCACAATGTTCACAGCGCTAGCCACAGCACCACAGCATTATTTCGTCCATCTAGGAATCTTCAAACGACTTTTTAGGTTCCTTTTCAAAATAAACGTGTGGTCAATTATTCATTTACAGGAATTAGTGACCAGGATTGTGGTTATAATTAGCGTTGTGCGTAGTATTGTGGAAGGAGGAATTTTGGTGAGGGAGGGAGGAAGGGAGAAAATTGAGGTAGCCTCACTGTGTGGCAGCCATTCTTGTTTTGCTCACCATACTAGCTTTGTGGTTTGCTATGGGGAACACACATGTACATGGGTCTATACAGTGTGTGTGTATAGTGTAATAACAGCACTAGGAGTATGTTGAGAGGAGCTATTTTGGTGAGGGAGGTTACGTCATAATCGTAGCGTCGTCTGCTCTCTGCTGTGTGATTTCTCATGCAGTGTATGGTGGCCACTGTACTGTTTGGATACAATACCGGCTTATTTGCATAGTTCTGGTAAATAAAACATGTAGATAGGTATATATAACGTGTGTAAATAGTGTAATAAAAACAATAACAGTATGGTGGGAGGAGCAATGTTGGCGAGTAAGATGTTGGAGTGAGGGAAACTGGCTGGGTGTGGCTGTTCACACTCGCGGTGTTCTGAGTGTGTTGATGGTGAATGTATATAGTGTGTGACAGTGTATAGTGTGTACATATGTTGTAAATATACATAAATGAACATGAAACATTGGTGTGAATAACTGTATGATGGGAGGAGCAATGTTGGTGACTACACTGTTGGAGGAGTGAGGGAGGGCTGGCTGGGTGTGACAGCTCACACTCGCGGTGTTCTGAATGTGTTGATGGTGAATGTATATAGTGTGTGACAGTGTATAGTCTGTAAATAGATTGTATATATACATAAATTAGCATGATACATGGTAAATATGTGCAACATGTGTGTACACAAGTGTCATGCACGTAACACAGTGTCCTCGGACAGTACGGATGTTTTACTGCCATAATATAGTGTATGTGTTCATTATACATAGGATTAGCATGTAAAAACAAATAAAATGTATTTGGAACTGTGTGCAAAAAATGAACAAAAATATATTTGCGGCAACTCGCTCGCCCCGCCCCGGGCACCCTACTGGCCCCGGTAGCATACGTGATGGGCGAACGGGGAAGGATGACATCACGTGCCAACTTACGGACTCCATAGCAGCCAAAGTACGTACAAGTTTGATTTTTTTTTTGACATACCCATACTGAGGGAAGGATTTTTGACACTTTAAAAAAAAAAAAAGAAATTTTTCAAGAGAATTTATTTCCTGCGCACTAAGGGGGGTGTCATATTTAGAGGTGGCGCAGTTAAAGGGTTAAGAGCCAACCAGAGTCTTTCATCTTTGTTTTCTACTTACATAGGCATAAAAAGACTTTGGATCTTTTTTAACGTTTTGAGCAAGTTTTCCTTCATAATTCCTTTTAGCTGATATGCTTTCGTGAGCAGCTAAATTTGATGCTGTTCTGTATATCTTAATTGATGTGATTCCTGGTGGGTTGATACTTCTTCAAGAGGTTTTCCTTTGTTGTTATAGCTCTTTTGACTGACCCCCATCATCCATCTAGTTCTTTCTTATTTCCTTCTACTTCTTGATATGTATTTTGAATAAGTTCAGAGATGATTGCTTTGAAATTTTCCTCTGAAGCTTCCATGTCTCATCTCCTATTAACTTCACCCATTTCATGGGAAATAGGCTTACAGGTTCCGGAAGATGAGAGGACATGTCAACATTCACCCAGGAGGTGTTTTGCAATTCCTGTCTCGTTCTAGGAAAGTCTCCTTGAAGGTAGTCTAGAAAGTCATCATCCCAGACCTTCATATTGGTTTCTGTAATTGTATTCCATCTTAGAATATTGTAATTATTTAAGTGCAATTACCCAAGTGTAGTTACAGGTTGATAGCTGAACTCATGGTGTCCTGTCTTTCCAGTACTCTTTGTTAAATGATGCTTTCATATAAGAATGTTTTCAAATGAGAACGTTCTATTTTTTTGGACAGATTTGTATTCTTGACTCGAGTCAATGACCTCATGTTATTGAAGTAGGCAATTTAAAGAATTATTCTTCCTCAATTTTGTCAATACTGTTAATATTTTGTAAGCAATGATCATTTGGACTATTTTTCTTGTCTTCTAGTTTTGGTATGTTTAACACCTCAAGCCTATCCTCATTGACTTGTCTTCCAGTTCTAGAAGCCATTTAGTTGCTTGTTTTTGCACCTTTTCCAGTTTATTAATGTGTTTCTTGAGGTACAGGCATCATATAGCTGCTGCATATTCTAATTTTGGTCTCACAAGGGTCATGAGCAATTTCTTTAATATTTTGACATCAATGTACAGTATTAAAGCAATACCAAAGTTAGAAAGCATACCATAGTCTACTCTCGCACAATGTTGTTTATGTGGTACTCAGGTGACAGTTTTCTATCCAGAACTACCCATATATCTCTTTATCAGAATTCTTAAAAGATTTTTCACATAATTTGCAGATTGTGTGTGGAGTATTTTCTCCTATTCCACATTCCATAATGCAGCATTTATTCACATTAAATTCCATCAGCCAAGTGTTGCTCTAAACAATAATTTTGTCCAGGACCTCTTGAAGGGCATAACAATCGTCTAAATGTTTCATCTTCCCTAGTAGCTTGGCATCATAAGCAAACATGTTCATTTGTGGTCACATGAGGGGGCAATTTTCTCTCCTACTTGAATTTGATCAATCATACCCTCTTCTGAGGTTTGCACCAGATCTAGAATGCTAATATCACGGGTGGGCTCTATCACGTTCTGTATGAGAAAGGAATCCTGTACAACTATCTACCTGTTGACTACCAGTTGATTCCAATGATCAATGTCCCTGCAGCCAGGTCTTGTCCAGGTCTCCTGGTTGCTGGTCTGATCAACCAGGATGTTCGATGCATTTGCTCGCAGCCTGATTGATCACTGAGTCACAGCCTGGTTGATCAGGTGTCCTTTGAAGGTGCTTGTCGAGTTCTCTTTTAAACACTGCAAGAAGTTGGCCAGTTATGCTCCGTATGTGTAGGGCAACAGTGATGAATAGTCTTGCGCCTTTGATTTACATTTTGATTTGATTTTGATTTTGAGGTCTATCTCTCTCAGAGTGCCTATTACACATTTGCTTTTCAGTATAGCTATTTTGCATATCCAACCATGCCTTCTGGTCTCAAGAGATGCTATACCAGCTGCTCAGAGAACATCCGAGAGGCCTGAGCTTTAATCCTGCACTGCGCACCACAACCAGGGATGTTTTAGGCGTATCATAAAGTTTAAAAGTCCTACGTATACATGGGGCTCATGTTTGCTTACTCAGGCCTCCAGTAATCATCCCTGATCTTGAAAAAAATCCTGAATCCCTCACTTTCCTTGTAGGCTTGGTAGAAAGATGAGAACCATGTCTGGTACATCACCATCCATTGTCTGGATGTGCATGGCAGCCATACTAGGAGCTATTGAACTTTTAACAACAGCACATGAGTGATTACCATATATATATTTACAGACAAAATGTGTGCTATGTGCAATTATAAGATTTAAGCTTATAAATATATATGTACATTAGTATGAATAAATACATAGTGTGCATATATTAATACATAAATATTTGTACATACATATGTATTTTCTGTTAAACATAATTAACACCCCAATGACACATCAATACAACTTGTCAGAACGAAAAGGTAAATAAATAAAATTAAATTGAATGATTGTAAATTAAAAAGTAAAGAGTTTTATTGTTAATTTAATAGTGTTAAACTTGAAAGAAAAGATAAACCAATATGATTTTACACTTACTTTTGTCACATATTTTACATACATATGGTTTAAAGTTAAAATGACGATTTTTGTGTTCCTGAAGAGTCTGGGGTCTAGCAAAAGATGATCCACACACATCACAGTGGAAGGGTCGCTCTCCAGTGTGTATTCTAAGATGCCTTTCCATATCTCCTGTAAATGAGAGGGAATATCTATACACTTATTTTTACTAAACAATTTTGTGACAGTATTCGTTTTGTGGCAGACTACATCTGTCACCCAAGGATTCCAGTCCTTACATAATGTCACATATACAGTAGTTCCAAATGACTCCATACTTATGTTTCTCACCTTAATGCATCATAAACATTCTTAGCACTGATATCAGATTTGCAAACATTTATTTAGTAAATGATTGTAGAAGGCAGGACTATATGCACTTAGCCAACCAACACACCAGAACTCCTACCAAGACTAGTACAGAAGTCCAAGAAACATGACCACTGGCTGAGCAGCTGAAAAGCTGAACCAAAACCCTTCAGATCTTCACTACTAGGAAAATTCATATATTTAAAGTTATTCATGTCTGCCACCACCAGGAAGAGCACCCAGAAAGTCCGCAAAATAAAACAGACAACTGCATGGTTAAAAACGAGACTACAGCCTCAAAACTGCCTCAAGAACTCCCCCAACAACATACACAAACTATCAAAATTTGTGAAACTTGCAAGCGCTAGAATGAACCACCTCCTCCCCTCATTTGGGGAAAGGAGGGAGGCAGGTCAGCCAGTTGCTGCCACTGCCAGCTCTTATAATGATCGAAACACACTGACGCCCTGGGGTAGTGGGGTAGGGAGGGTATCAGGGAACCACTGGGGCTCATGCAGAAATTGGTGTTTCATTCATTTCATTCAACGCTGGATTTCTGGAGAAAGCCCCTTGTGGCTCCCTGAAGCTAACTATCCACAGAAAATGAAAAAGGGTCACTTACCAGGGAGGAGGCAGCACTGCAGGTATCAGATTGAGGAAGAGACTGTCAGCCAAGACACTTGACCCAAGGCCACACAAGGTCGCTGAGGACCAGGAACGTTCACAAGATACCTGGCCACCAAAACTCTGTTCAACTGCCAAAACCCCTGTACCCAAATATCGGCCCAAGACATATTAGCAAACACACATCATCAGAGTGGCAAACTTATGAACATCATGGGCATGAGGGTAGACCATATGCTGACTAGATTTAATGGCACTATGGAAAACCTAAAAAATATGAGTCCTGAAACAGGGAAACCGATCAACCAACAAGGAGTCCACCGAAGCATAATCAATGGCCTGAGGGTAGCGGCAAAAGGTACCACTGGACAAAGTGCATGATGCTACCCCGGCTGGACCAACCACTAACCCATGACTAAAGAACCCCTCCAGAAGCTAGTAAAGTTATTCTTCACCAGAAAAGAAAGAGCTGACTGCAACCAAACAAAAAGCCAACCACGACCAAAGGAACAAAACCTCCCAGCACCGAAAAAGAGCATGAAGCTCACCCAGCCGGCAACCAGAAGCCTAAGAAATAAAACCAAATCCTTCAAAAAACAATCCTGGACCGAAGGGGCCACCATAAACCTGGATTGTACCTGGATTGGGTTCTGGGAGTCCTTCTCCTCCCCAAGCCCAGCCCGGGGCCAGATTTGACTTGTGAGAGCTTGGTCCAACAGGCTGTTGCTTGGAGTGGTCCACAAACCCACATATCCACCACAGCCCGGTTGGTCCGGCACTTCTTGAAGAAATATATCAAGTTTTCTCTTGAAGACATCACATTTGTTCTGGCAGAAGAAAGAAGAAACCGAGCAGAAGTAAGAAAAATAAGAACCCAGTCAAGGGACTAGGCAGGCTCAGGCAGTGCATGAGCAGGCAGGAGGTGGAACAATACATGAGAAAGCTTAGGAAACGGGGCAGAAGAGGTATCACCCCCAAAAGCAAGCTGGAGAAAATTCATACATTGGCATTCTGCCAACGCCTCACAATAAGAAGCATTTCTGATTAAACCAGGACACACCCTGGAACATAAGATCCACCACAGAAGGCAATAGGGCCCACATTGAATCAAACAGGACTCAAGGACCCCAATCTAACTCTCTCCAAACTCCGGGAAATGCAGAAGAGGGCCCAGGCGCAGAGCCCTCGTCTATGTCCACCACCTGGGAAAGAAAAGTGGAGTCCAAGAAATAGGATTTAAGAGCAGGGATTCGCTGAAAAGACCCAAAAGCCTTGGTAGGACCGAGAAACTCAGCTGACTCCTCGACAGTGTTGGAAGGAGTAAACCCCAGATCAACCCAAGCCACATCCTAAACTAAACCTTGCCCCGCTTCCAAAACCCCCAGACACTTCAGAACCAGAAGCGGGGGGTGTAAGGAGAAGGGCAAAACTGGTCCACTGAGGACGAACCACGCTCGAATTGACCAAAACCCAAATCATAGTCCCTAAACACCAAGCAGGGCAAATCTGAGGCATCCAACCAGGTACACAACCTAGACCGCTGCAAGACAAAAATCCAGCGTTGAATGTAATGAAACACCATTTTCTGGGTGAGCCCCGGAGGCTCCCTGGAGCTTATCGGGCTAATGTATGTTATATTAGACCGGGACATTAGCTAAGGAGTTCAGACCTACCAGGGACCAGCGCCAGAACCTGGCCCCTTCAGAGAGGTTTCAGGGAGCAATGGCCCTGGAAAACCCCTTTGTGGTTGGGGTTTTCCTTATCTGCCATCGACCAGGGTTAGGCACAAAGAAAGGTAGGCATAACAAAACAAACCCCACATGGTAAAAAGCCTGGAGCGGCCTGGCTCCAAGCGAGCCAGGACCTGGAGCAACAACTGAACTAGGTGGAAGAAGTATAGGTAACCCCACCTCACCCAGTTTAGCCAAAAGGCGTCGACCCCGACAGCCTCGCAGTCGGGGAAGGGCGCCATGTATACCGGAAGACGCCTCGACCACGTCAACGCAAAAAGATCCACTTCCAGAGGCCCGAACGTCTGGCAGAGCCAACTGAACGAGCTGGCGTAGAAAGTCCAATCCGTGGACAGGGGAATGAACCTGAACAGGCCGTCCACCAAGACATTGGAAATCCGTTGAAATTGAACCGCCAGGAGAGCCAAACCCCGAGAACTCAGCAGACGAGTCACCCAAAGCGACCAGCCCCAAAGAGCCAAGGACCGCATAGAACCCCTGCGGTTCAGGCAATGAACCACCAGGAAACAGTCCGAATGGAGCTTGATCGTCGATCCGCGAGCGACCCAAACCCTCTGGAGCGACATCCACACTGCCGCAAACTCTCGCACCATGCTGTGAGCCAGACGGAGGGACAGACTCCACCGCCCCTGGCTGGCCATTGAGCACTGGTCATAAAGCAGATACTATAGGGGCAGATACTGCACCACCGCAGACTCTGCAAACAGCAATAAACAAAAAGGCGAGGACAACCTAAGAGCTAGGGCCCATGTGGATTCCAAGGAAGAAGCAAGCACCACCTGCCGACACGCGAGGCGAGGAGCATAAAACCGCAAAACTGCATCCCACAGGAGCGGCGCGAACAACTTCAACAAGGCAGACGACACCTGCACTGCTGACGGCAGTGCACTCAACCCAGCAGTGGCCCCAAGTTCCGCCACATCCAACTCAAGCCAATCCATGGACAGTTTGAGGAGGGAAAAGAAATGCAGGGCCGAAGCCAGCAGGTCACGTGTACGCAAATCTTCCGCAACCAAGGCGGCCAAAAGAGAGGGAACCTGCACATGAAGCTGCATCACACCAACATCCCGCGGAAGGGCAGGGGTGAACAAACACGCATTGAGGTACTCGAACTCGCCCTCCAGGAAAACCTGCAACTCTGTCTGAGCTTCCCTCCACCCAAGCACACGGGACCGACAGAATGTGTGCCAAGCCTCCAACAAGAAGGGCAGTCTGCCAACCAGGATGACTCCGGAACTTTATAACAAACCCAGTACGGACACGACGATCCGTACACGAAGGAGCATGGATCCATCACGAAAGCATAATCAGGGTTGCGCAGGAGGTAAGCAGCAATGGCTTCTCGCACCTCTTGAGACAGGATGCAGGAAGCTGAAAACCTCCGGAAGGACGGGACCGAGGAACCCACGGGATCATGGAACCGAACCCGGGGAGGGGTAGATACCAAATCCAAATCAAACGAGGGATCGAAAGAGAACCCCTCACCCTGTAACACTAAGCCCCACTCTGAGGGCAGAAAAACCCAGGCAGGTCCAACAGGGCCCAAGGCCCCCAAGTCAACCCCTCCCCTGCCCCGGGAACCCCACCCTGAGGACCCGGGGCCAAGCCGGCCTCCAAACCCACCTGCTTTTAAGGATGAAGCGGGAGCAGCCGAAAAAGCTGGAACAAAGGGGGCCTACTGGTCAGACCCAGAAGCTCCAGCAAGAGGACCAGGCTCGAATACCACTGCTGCAACCCCAGAAGGGGACTCCCCCAAAACCGCCTGAGTCTCAACACCAATTAAATCCTGCCCCGACTCTGAAACCTTCAGACGCTTCAGAGCCGGAAGCAAGGGGGGAGGAACCGGATGCACAATGGAAGGGGAAGGACTAGGAGGGGCGGATGGAACCAGAGCTGAAGCGACTCCCACCCCCAAGTTCGGGTCCCTAAAACCAAAACAGGGCAGTCTTGGGGCATCTGGGGCCGCAACCAACCTAGCACATTGCAGCAACCTAAACCTTGCATGCAATGCAGCAGCTGCCTGCACCCTCATATCAGTATCAGTAGCTTGGATGAATTGGAGCACGTACAGGCCACAAACGTTGCATGACTCCGGGACAAAGGAATCACCGACTCAACAAGCAGCATGGCGGAGGCACAACCAGTGAGTGTCACCCTGAGATAAGGGGACAGAGCAACCTTCAAGCGCGCATGAAGGGAGAGGGGACACATCCAGGGGGGGGGGGGGAGAGGGAAGGTCACATCCATCAGACCATGGAGCCACCACAGCATTTTCCAGGACCCTTAGCCTTATTAACACGCTAAGGGAAGCCCAGGTAGGGTACTGCAAACGAGTGCCCAAGTAAACCAAACAAACTGCTAAAAGCTGAACCCCCTGAGATGAGTCCACTCACAAGGGCCAAGCGGGGATTACCACCACAACACAGAATATATATATATATATATATA